GCGCGCCCCTCCGCGCCCCGGGCAGGAGAGGCTCCGTGCGGGGGGCTCCGAGGAAGGCGGCGAGCGGAGCCGGACCCCAGCCTCATCATGGGCCATAACCGGAGCTGGGTCTCCCAAACCGCAAGCGAGCCGCGCAACGCGTCCAGCGGGGAGGCAGCGGGCGCCAACCGCAGCACGCTCGGGGACTTCGGCGAGGCGCAGCTGTACCGCCAGTTCACCACCACCGTGCAGGTCGTCATCTTCATAGGCTCGCTGCTCGGTAAGCCACCCGCGGGGCGCCTCTGGGCCGGGCTTCCCGGAGCGCACAGGCTCGGAGAGCCGGAGTGCTGACAGTCGAATGAGGCTTAAGAATCCCCGGGTAATGGCTGTGAAGTTAAGCAGGAACGAGTCGACTCCAGCCCCCAAGCTGGAAGCCTAAGAGTTCCAAAAGCGCTTTCTCTTGGCCCGAGGATGGTGCTTGGTCCAGGCAGAGATCAGCATCCCCAGACAGCCCTTGCCGAACACTCCGGGATAGGCGCTTGGCTGTGCCAGGGCAGAGCGCAGGCTCCAGCTTTTGTTTACAAATAGTGAGGAATAAAGATTCTGGGAGAATTTGTTGCTGATGACTGGCAGGTATATTACCCGCTCTGTTAAAGGTGTGTTTTGCGCTCCCATCTATTGCTAGTTCCCATACATGAAATTATTTTGAAACCACCTTGTTTTGTGTCTTTTATACCTTGCTTCTTGAGAACATTGACGTGCTGGTAAATAATCCCGTGAAGTTAAACTCCATGTCGCCTTTAGATGTTTTTGAAACAATCAAACAAAACCCAATCCTCTCTGTTTTTGTGTGAAGTACGGAATAAAGGCAGGGTTAACACACACACTTAGATTTAGGTATACTTGTTCAGAGAAGAAGAGATCAACGGACTGAAATGAGTGGCCAGGAAAGTATTGATCTATTAGTGTGAGAATTACCTGTACCCTGTACTTCTTACTCCTTTTTTTTTTTTCTCGCTACAGGGTGCATGTGCTAACCGGAGGGGTGGGGGTGAGAAAGCACCTCCCAGGCCGGAATAGACTTGCTGCAGTCCCTTCCCCTCCATTTTCCTCCTAGGAGTTTGGACATAGATGCTCACGTCCCCAGACCCCAGTCCGTTTTAGGAGCCCTGAGGTCGGATTCGAATTGCAGTTAGTCATGTGGGATCCAGCTGCTTTACCTATAAGCCACTGGCGGCCCATACTTCTTACTACTCTTAAATGATACTACTCTTTATAACGATCAATATTATTTCCATTGAGGTTTGTTGAATGTATTGTGTACTTCTTGTAAATACGTGACTCTCCTTCAGATGTAAATTCTCTGATGTGGTATTTATTAGAATGTTAGGAGACTATGATTATATGTGATATTATGGGTAAGAGCAGTCTTAATGGTTCAAAGTAGAAGTAGGTTACTTTTTGTAGATATTTGTGAATTTCCATGGAAACCAAGATGATTGACCTCCCGAAGACTATATTTGGAAGAATTTTTAGTATTTGGAATTTCCCATCACAGTTTTTCCAATTGTCATCATTCCATTCCACTCTGTCATAACATTTATCTTCCATTTTTTGTCACTGGGTTTTTTTTTAAGGGTAGACATCAACATGGCTCTATCTAAGGGTGTGTGTCCATTAGATGTGTTTCAAAGAGTGGATGTTAAATATACATTAACAAAGCAAAAGCCTATTTTGCTTTGAAAATCCTAAATACTTTGAACATTCCTTTAACAAACATTGGACTCCTAATAGATACCAGTCCTGATGTAGTATTGTCCATTACTGGGAGTTAATCTGATATTGGCACACTTACATGAAGTGTAGATTGCTGGGGACACAAGAGATGTGACTAATTTTATTTTATGTGGAAAAACCACAGGCACATACACATATGTACATATAGTGGACCCTTGAACATTGCAGGGGTTAGGAACACTCACACACTCTCAGCCCTGACCCCCACAGTTGAAAATCTGCATAGCTTTTGACTCCCTCAAAGAGAGACAGAGAGAGAGAGAGACATTCTTTTTTCTCTTTTTTTTTGGAGATGATTTTGCTATAGGGTGTGCGTGCTCACCAGACAGACAGAGAGAGACAAAGAGACAAAAAGCGCGAAATCACCCCCCAGATGGGATGGCCACACCACAATCCCTTCTCCTCTATTCTCCTCTCAGGATCTTGGGCACGCACGCACACGCATGGGCATGAGTTTTAAGCCACTAGGTCTGGGACTTGAACCATGATCAACTACATGGGAGTCCAGTGACATAGCCATTATGCTAACTGCTGGTCCCCTGAGAGCGCCATTCTTGACAGCATCTTGTTATGCCATGATCATCCCTAAGGCTCCCACCCTACCACTCCAACCAGCTAGGATCTCAGACCTGCCTGATGTGTTCAAGTCCATCCACGATCATTACCAGGGAGATAATCAGGTTTAGATGAGATCCTGAGGGTAGGGTCCTTATTTATTTATTTTTTTTTTGGAGAGATTTTCACTGTAGGGCGCGTGCGCTCGCCAGACAGACAGAGAGAGACATAGAGACAGAAAGCGAGAAATCACCCCCCAGGGGGGATGGTCACGCCGCAATCCCTTCTCCTCCATTCTCCTCTCGGGATCTTGGGCACGCACACACACGTGCCCGGCGTGAGTTTTAAGCCACCGGGTCCGGGACACGAACCGCGGTCGACTACGTGGGAGTCCAGCGACATAGCCATTACGCTAACTGCTGGTTCCCAGGGTAGGGTCCTTATAATGGGATATGTATGTGTTTATTTTATGTTTTAAATTTATTTTTAAAGAATTATTTATTTAATTTTATTTATTCATTTATTCATTCATTCATTTTAATTTGACCAGAGAGAGAGACAGAGACAGAGACAGAGAGGAAGTGAGAAAGCAAGCCACCAGTCCAGGACTTGAACTGTGGTAGCCCATGTGTGAGTGTCCAGTGCCTTAAACATCATGTCACCTGCTGGCCCCAATATGTGCCTTTATAAGAATACATCAGAGAACTTGTTCTTTCTTTCCACCCTGTGAGACCATAGCATGAAAAAAGCCATCTACAAACCAAGAGGAGGATCTTCCCTAGAATGTAAATATGTTGGCATTCTGACGTTAGACTTTCTGGTTTCTAGAACTAGGAGAAATAAATTTCTTTCTTTTCTTTTTTTTTTTTAAAGGAAGATTTTTGTAGTAGGGCACTTGCACTCACCACAGAGATAGAAAGGAAGAAATCACCCCCCGGGGGATGGCCATGCCACAATCCTTTCTCTTCCATTTTCCTTTGAGGATTTTGGGCACACATGCATGTGCACCTGACATAAGTTTTAAACCACTGGGTCTGGGACTCAAACCACAGTCGACTACATGGGAGTCCAGTGACATAATCATTAGACCATCTGCTGGTCCAAAATTTCTATTTTTTTAAGCCTAATCTATATAGTGTTTTGTTATAGCAGCTGGGGCAGAGTAGTATACTTACACATAGTCTATAGTGAAACAGCATGAAACTGAAGACCCTAAGTAAAAATCCAGCTTGTCTATGGCTTGATTCCATGACATGGTTATTGAAGTATTAATTTAAAAGAAAAAGTGGGAAAATGACTTGTTAAATGTGTTCAACAGACTACAGATGTTATGAATAAACACCAGTTTTGTTCACACTTTTTTTTTTTTAATGATAGTCTGTGTGCATAAGAGAGAGAGAGAGAGAGAGAGAGAGAGAGAGAGAACCCTCTACAGGGCCTCATTATGTCATGATCCCCTTTCTTTCACCCTTCAGCTCCTTGGAATCTTGAGTTCCTGCCTATGTGCACTTAGTGTGTTTTCTGGTGGACCCAGGGATCTGAACCTGTGGTTGGGCCATGTGGCCTCCAGTACTGAAGTCTAGTATCCTATAGACTGTGCCAACAGGCTGGGACTTATACATGTTTATTGTCCTTCAGCAAAATTGTTTGGGACACTAGCAAGATTCATGGTACTTGCTTGATAGAGTCTACTTGTGCTTTTAATACTGGTTAAAATTAACCAAATAACAGTCTAATTATTGTTGAAGTTCCTTAGTTAAATGTTTAATAGAAGGTGTGTTAATACCAGTTTGTGCTTATAATTTATAATTACAAACTATGATTTTTAGCTAACTATAATTATAGCCGATGATAATGTAATACCAACAGTCTTACTGCCACATGATGTATGCCTACAAACCTAGCAGGCTGTATCAAGAATAAGGAGTCCTGAATTGCCTTAAAAAATAAGGAAGTGGTGGTGGGGGGTGGATAGAAAGGGAACAGGGGAAAAAAAACAAACAATACATTTAATTGACACAAAAATGAAAAGTTATTTGCTGATGATAATGTATATGATCATTTCTTTTTCTTTTTTCTTTTGTGGGAGAGGTTTTTCCTATAGGGCATGTGCACTCACCAGAAAGTCAGAGAAAGACAGAGACAGAAAGAGAGAAATCCCAGTGGGGATGGCCATGCCGCAATCCCTTCTCCTACATTTTCCTCTCGGGATCTTGGGCACACACGCACACACACCCGGCGTGAGTTTAAGCCGCCAGTCTGGGACTTGAACTGCGGTCGACTACGTGGGAGTCCAGCGACATAGCCATTACATTAACTGCTGGTCCCGTATGATAATTTCTTTATTGTATCTGATATGCACTGTATTCATGCATTTAAAGATGTATAGTGATTAAATGTAAATAAGAAATATATAAGTGTGTGTGTGTATAATATAGAGTAAGGAAATGGTGGAGCTAGGTTATCAGCTTGGATATGAGAAATCCTAAATCAAATTGCTTCCACATTGTCTTTGATTTCCATATGCTGCTGATAGTTAAGGTCTAGGAGTAGAACATTTTTTATGCTGGTAGACAGAGCAACTAACTTATTGTCTGGATTTTTCTCTTTTAGCTAGCTGGCTAGCCTGCTTTCTTCTTTTCTATTGGTCCCAAAGTTTTAGCTTCAAATATCTCTGGTTCTGCAAGGAGTATACTTTTATTTATTGGGTGGGATTTTGTAGAATGGAAGGAAATTTCTCTCCAAACAGAAGCAAACAGACAGGGCTATGTTGTCCTCTGAAAATGTCCAAGTCCCTGGAAGACTCTCTTCCATAGAATTTTCCAGAGAGTTTTAGAACCATGTGTTATTTGTCTGCAAACTTTATCTTTAGAAAATCAACCTTTATTTTCACTATACTCACATACCTGTGCATGCATATGCACACAT